TAAACTTTTCTCGATATTTCGAGAGAAACTTTGTTGCAATCGCCAACGCCGATCCGAATTTGTCTGCGCTGGAGGCATCATATTGAGTGTCTGTCATCAATCCAACGCAGCGAGTACCACGGCTTTGAGGAACCAACAATCCAGCAATGCCGTTATGATTATGATAACCAACAAGTTCTTTGCCTCGGGACGATTTCCCGCCGGTGCAACGATCCACCCACAAGACAAACTGTCTTTAAGTGAGGAACAGGTTTCGGTCAGCCGAATCCGGCAACCGGTGTAACAAGGGACACCCTGAAACGGGGTTGCCCTTGAGTCGTCAGGGGTCCTGAAGCTGACGATAGCTGACTATCCGTAAGTCGGGCTGACTGTACACTTGTGAAGAGACCCTGAATGTCACATGTTGCATTAGACGGCAGTCCTTATTAAATAGCTGGCCCCTCTATGTGTCTACGCATTCAGTCTAGGGCGATGAAGGGACGAGAGCTTTGATACACCAACATCCGTGTGGCATCATCTACATCACCGGCCCAGTATTGACTATCATTATTCCACATACTCTCACATGCTCAAGCTCTCCCAATTGCAGTGATGAGAATCAAGCACCGATGGATGAGGCGGAGCTACGTGTATTCTTAATAGCCGGGACACTAGCAAACCGAAGCCCCTGAGGATTTAGTACCCTCGTCGAGGACTGGTTCCTGTCCAAAATTTAAGTAGGGGTTTTGGCAGATAGTAGGTCATCAACACACCATGAAGCCAGGCTACCAATCAGACCTTGACTCCAAGCTCCAATAACTCCGTGGAAACCTTTCCCTCCGCCCTTCCTACCATCAACGATCGGTCGACCTACCACCCAAACCCCCTACCCCCAAAGCGAACCCCCCCAAACCTCATCAACAACCCACACCCCAACAAGCACAACGAACCCAAGCATCGAGTCCCTCCTCCCCCGTTCCGCCCCCTCCCCCCTCTTCTTCCCAACCCTCACCGGCCCCGCACCCCCCGTCACCGGCGGCACAACTCCACCGGCCCCCGAAGAAACCGGAGGACCCCTCTCCTTCGCATAACACTTCCCCATCCAACACTTCTCATCCCGACTACACCCGCCCTGCACACCGCAACACTCTCCACTCACACACATCCCGCCGCAGAGCTTCTTGCCCCGCGAGCAGCAGACCCCGATGGCGGCGTCGACGCAGTCGAAGCCTTGGGCGCAGCAGCCGGGCCCGCAGCAGGGCATTGATTTTGTGCAGCAGTTCCAGTTGCGGGGCAGGTTGCAGGATACTATGAGAGGCGTTAGCGTGATGATTCTGAATGGCAAGGAGAGGATGATGTGGAATGGATGTGATGGGGGTAAGGTATGGAGGACGGAAGGAGATACACACCTGTTCCTTTGGGACATGTGTCTGGGTCGTCGACTGAGCGCGCTGCGTAGAGGGCCGGGCTGCCGACTTCCCATTCTATGATGGAGATGGCTGGGTCTCGCCCGTACGGAGTGTGGCCATATGATGGCTTTTCCCGGGGTGGCTGTCCATATGAAGGCTTTCCGTATGAAGGTTTTTCGTCTGGCTGCTCGTACGGTGACGGTTCTTCCGCCGAGTCTTCGTGTGGCGTCTCATTGTAGGGTGTCTCTTCGTAAGGCAATTGCTCATACGGTACCTCTCCAACTCGCGGTGCTGATGGCTGGTTGCCCTGCGATATCTCTTGAGGCATAGCGAGGCATATGGAGCTAACGGCCAACGCTACCCCGAGTATCCGAGAAGACTGACTGAACTTCATTCTTTCGAAAGTATTATTCGCAACTCCGTCGTGGAGAACCTGATGATTTGGTAATGGGGGTTTGTGTGGTGAGTGCAACGACGATCCAAGGTGTTGTGTTGATATAAGGACCCGTAGCGTGAAGTGCAGTGAATCACTTTAAGGAAAACCCCGTCGATAATCTTTGTGACAAAACGATTCTGATTCACCACACTGCTTGTTGTGGGATTTTGTTTGGTATTATCAAGCCCGCCATCTATGCAACTCCGAAAGCTCCCCAAATCCATCCATCCACCTTTACGTCCAAATCCGGAGATAGCTGTAACTTAAACCTTTCCAGCATCCTCCTTCAGCGACACAATACGGTTGAGAATAATCTTCTCATCGGTACTGTCAGAATCAATAGCCTAGTGTGGGTGTTAGTTCGTCTGTTAAAATTTCAGTCTTCACTCGTGGGCAGCTTACAAAGTAGGCAATGCGCGTCGCCTGGAAACGAACACTCTCAGGTCCGCCCTTGCCGAGCTCGCTCTCACCCGCAGCCTCAGGCCAAGGTGCACGTCTCTTGACTTCGTCAAAACCGCTCTCGATGAGCGCGTCGGGGTAGATGACCTCGCTCTCGGGGTTGATGTCGTTGAGGAAACCGCCCTCGGCGTCGTCGGGCTTCTCGCTCTTGAACAAAGAGTTGTGGATACGGGCCTCAACCTTCTTGGACCCCTCGGTACCGACCCAGTTGATGAAGGCCTTGGGCTTCTTCGTCTCCCTGTCGTAGACGGCGCGGATCTCGGTGACCTTTCCTGTCGCCTCATCCTTGGTGTAGGAAGTAGCCTTAATGGGGAAGGGGGCGTTGAGCAGACCGACGGTCTTGTTGGGTGCAAGACGGAAGTAATCCTTGCTGTCGACCTCTCTGAAATCGGCGCGATCGATGTAGACGGTCGGGGTGAACTTGATCGTGTGCGAACCCATGTTGGGATCCTTGGGAGAGAAGGCGAGCTCGACGTCAGTAGCCTCGGCATCTTCGATGACAACCGGGATGGGATCCAAGACCATCATCAATCTGGGAACAGTTCGTTCCAGGTACTTGCGCACCGTCTGCTCGAAACGCTTGATCTGAATGACAGAGACAGACGTCGTGACTCCCAACTCATTGACGAAGTCGAGAATCGCGCGAGGGGGCACACCACGGCGCTTGATACCGATCAGAGTGTACAGGCGTGGATCGTCCCAGCCGCGCACAATCTTCTCCTCAACCAGCTTGAGGATCTTTCTCTTTGACAAGACGGTACCTGTGATACCTAGACGACCGTACTCGCGCTGCATCGGCTCGTAAACGCCGAGGGTCTTGTTGAGCCACTCGTACGAGACACGGCTCTGGACGAACTCTGTTGTGCAGAGTGAGTGAGTGATGCCCTCGAAGCTATCACACAGGCAGTGCGTGAAATCGTATGTCGGGTAGATCTTCCAGTCCCATCCGGTGCGGTGGTGCGGCGTGTCGGTCTTGATGCGGTATGCGGCGAGATCCCACATCTGGGGGTTGCCGTCGGTGATATCCTGCTTCATGCGCAAGAATGCTTCCCTAGGCTTGTATTTGCCGTCCTTCATATCTCTGAATTTCTGCAGGTTCTCTTCGACGGTGTGGTTCGCGTGCTCGCATCGGAACCTAGGGGAAGCGCCCTTCTCACCGCCACGCTGGAGCTTGATCTCGGTATCTGAGGGTGACTGATTAGCAAGTGCAGAGCACGTTGTATCTGATGCAGAAGATAACCTCACCACCGCAGTAGCATACGTATGCCTTCTCCAACGTAATCATCTTCTCTGCCAAATCGTACAGCTTCTGGAAGTTGTCACTCGAGTACGTAATCTTGTACGGTGTGAAACCCAGCCAGCTGATCATCTCCTCAATGGCCGTGAAATATCTCTCCTCCTCCTTCTCTGGGTTCGTGTCGTCGAATCTCAGGTAGCAGACACCTCCGTGATGCTTGGCGAAACCGAAGTTGACAGCGATGGCCTTGGCATGGCCAATGTGCAAGCTGGGGGAGACGTCAATGGCGTGGCAAAGATAAGCATTGGGGCTCACGTACTAGCCATTGGGCTCGGGAGGGAAACGCGTTACGACATTCTCCGACGGCCTCTCCTTGTAGACCTCCTGGAGGAAGCCCTGCTTGAACATGGCCTCCGGGTCGAGGACGACCTCCTCAGGCTTAGCTTTGGGCTTCGCGGCGGGCTTGCTGTCGCCAGCACCGGCAGCCTTTGCGACAGCGTCCTTGGCAGCCTTTGCCTTTTCTGTGGCGGCCTTCTTCGCTCGCTTTGCCAGTCTCTTCTTCAGCTCGCCCTTGCTGACCATCTCTCCCGTCTCCTCGTCGAGCTGGAGCTTGGCCGTCGACTCGGCCAACTTGGCGGTGGGGTCCGCAGCAGCGTCCGCCATGGTAGCGGTGTCCGGTAGGCGATAAAGGGTGGTATGGGAGGTAAGCTTTGTCGAGATTCAGGAGTACCTTGCGGTCGCTCAGTGATCGATGTTCGTTCAATTGGGTTCCACGAGATGTTCACGGCGTGGAAAATGTGTGGTTGTGGTGGCGGGGCAACACTCGAGGTCTTCTTTTGCGGCGGGGATGACTCAAATGGATCCAAGGAGGGGTCATTGCACTGGCACAGCGTCCCTCGCTCAGCTTGCGCCTGCGACACGCGACAAAGAACCGATAAGATAACAAACAACCGTATCTTATCGGTCAGATTGGTCTCCGATAAGGCACCTCGAAAGGACTCGAGTTTGCTGCGTTTTCAAGAATGGAAGCTTCCAAAATGCCTTGATGACAAGCTATAAACTCTTTCGCCTTCGAGATAAAGAGTCATTTCTATTTAATCATGAATAGTAGAATTCATCATTTCACACTCTCGACTTCCCGGCATTCTAGGGAAGCAATTCCTCAAAGATACCTACCTACCTACAGGGGCGAACGGCATGTAGGTACCTTACCTTACTGCCCCTGCGATAACAGTGCGATAAGCTGCCAAAAGCTCGACAATTGGACCAACCTGAAAGACCAAGCTCCTATTGAGCTCGGAATAGCGCGGGGTCTTTCGTCATGAGCTCCCACCTCTCCTGCTTCCAGTCGGCTGCTTCTTTGTCACCAACACCTCAAAAGCAGCCCGCCGCGCCCGCTCCTAAACCTGCCAAATCAACGACACCAAACCCGAATAAGCAACCTTAAAGCTCGCCTATGCCAATCCGACAAGCAGTCAAAATGGTCACCACCGCCGTCGCCGACATCCCTACCGTTGAGCTCCTCTACAAGATCGGCCAGATCCATGCCAACCCGAAGGCCACCTTCCCCCACAATGCGTCGCATAACCAAAAAGTCGCCGTTGTTCGAGGCGACATCACCACCCTCGCCGTCGATGCGATTGTCAATGCCGCGAATAATAGTCTTCTCGGAGGAGGCGGCGTCGACGGCGCGATCCACCGCGCAGCCGGCCGGGGACTGCTCCAGGAGTGCAGGACCCTGAACGGATGCGCCACCGGTTCCGCCAAGATCACGGGCGCCTACAACCTCCCCAGCAAGAAGATTATCCACGCCGTCGGCCCAATCTACGACGAGCTCAATCCCGACGACTCCGAAGCGAAGCTTGCGGGTTGCTACAGCACCAGCTTGAAGCTTGCGGTTCAGAATGGCTGTCGCAGCATCGCTTTCAGCGCGCTGAGCACCGGCATATACGGTTACCCGAGCACGGAGGCGGCTCCTGTTGCTGTCGAGGTTGTCAGAGAGTTCCTTGACGGAGAGGATGGCGATAAGTTGGACAAGATTGTCTTTTGCACCTTTGAGATGAAGGACGTCAGAGCCTACAACGAGACCCTTCCGTATGTTCAGACCTCAAAACTCCTTCGCACAGTAACTTGTCTTGCTAACATTCGTTCAATAGTTTCTTCTTCCCTCCCGACGACCAGCCAGCCACCAAGGAGAAGACCGAGGCCAGCCCTTCCAAGAAGGAAACAGAAGAGGCGAAAGCTATCGCGGCTGAGTTGCCTAGCGTTCCCAAGTCTGACCCTTCTCAGTAAGCGACGTTCACGCCGAAACACACCTGCAGTTGGCCGTCGCGTCACTGCTCATGATACTACGACTGGACACCATGATGGCTTAGGGAGTTTATGGAATTATACCAGGAAAAAGCGAGCCGCTTAATATACCACCATGCATCGATACAGAATGACTATGACAATAGAGTTTGGGGGCCTTTTTTGGCAACTATGATCGACCTCGAACTTTCTTTGGGTTCCTTCCTTCCCTGCAAACCTTCGTATCCCGTCAGTCGAATACTCAAATTGCCCACGTGACCCACGTAAATCCAACTTCAATGTCAAAGAAACATGCGATAGAGCTCCCGGTTCATAATTCTTTTTCTTCATATTGGATTAGCAAGATGCACCATGCTTGGCCTGCATTGAGGGATTCCTACAGTTGCGAGGTCAAAAGCTGCCCATAGAAAGATTGAAAATTGTGAGTTGCGTGGTTCCGCAAGAAACTTTGACCTGCGTAGTGCTTTTCTTTATTCGACCCGTCCAGCATGGAGACACTCGCTTCTTTTACTAACGATGAAGCAGGCAAGTCTGAATGTCAACCAAGGTAGAGAGTGTAAAGAAGTCCATTTGAATTAAAACTACTCAAAACCTACTATTTGTCAAGTGATTAGGAAGATGTGTAAAATGGGAGCAGGCCATTCGAACGCATCTTGCCCTATTATATATGATGCTGGCGAACAACATAAGTGTTGTAATTGAGCCCGAATTTATTTTCGCCCTTCTGAGTATGCATCATATAAGTCGACCCACCCCCTTTTGGCCACCCCCCCTTTTAGCCACCCTATTAAATATAGTATTAAAACATCGCTACTAACTATACTTAATTAATTAACTATTTTTTATTATTATAATAATATAATTATTATTCTCTCTAAATAATTCGACTCTTATAAGTTAACTAAGACTAACTAAATAGTTATTAAAATTCTCCTAAACTTTTTATATATCCTAAATATTTATAAACTTAGTATTTAAGTTTATTAATATATTCTTTTTTTATAACCTTAATTAGTTAACTTTAGCTTTTAAAATTCGAATATAATATTAAAATATTACTAAATAGTAGGCTTACTTACTAAATATTTTTTTTTTATTTTTTTAAATAATAGTCGTTAAGTATTATAATTTAGACTAAGTTTTATAAATAATTTTAATTACTTATAAAGCTTACTAGTCTTTTTAAAAATTAACTAATTAATAATAAACGCTATTAATACTTAGTTAATAGCTTTTTTAATATTACTAATTATTTACTTAGTATTTACGGTCTTTTTAGTTAATATAACTAGGTTAAGTAGGATTATTAAATTAGTAAGTAATTTAATTATATTAGGGAGATATAGTTTAGTTACTTTTTATTTATTTTATATATTTAATAATATTAAACTAGCTAAACGAGCTTTTTAATAATAGCTAAAGAAGTACTACTTTTTAATAATAGTAAAATTATTTATTATATCCTCTTTACTAAGCTCTTTTTTATACTTAGACTTAATAAGTTTAAAAATAGTTATATTTAATAGCTAGAGGATATAAAAAATATATAGTAATAAAAATAGTAAATAAATATTATTTTTATAGTATTTTTATATAAATTCTATTATTTATTATAGCTAGCTAGTTATAATAAGTATATTAATAAAAGTTCAGGCTACGAATACTAAGTAAATAGTATCGTAATTATAAATAGCTTTTTTAAAGCTATATTTATAAATAATAAAATAAATAAGGCTTTAGTAATTAATCATAATCTTATTAAAAAAAGTCCTTAGTAAAAATAGCTAAAAATAATTATAAAATTTAATACTAAGTTAATTATTAAAAAAACTATAAAAAGTTTATTTTTTAGCTTAGTTTAGGTTTATATTATATATAAGTCCGTTTATAAATATATTCTTTATTAATAACTACTTTTATTTATTAAATGATTATTTAATAAATATTAATAAGCGCTTATTTAGAGTAATTATAATAATTATTTTATTATATAATTATTACTTTTTATTTATAAATAATTTATTTATAGTTCTTTTATTCTATAAGAATTATTTTATATTTTTATATTTTTATATATATAATATATTATAGCTATTATAAGCCTATAGGGCGGGCCCTATTTTTAGTTATATATATTAAGTTGTAATATGAAGTCTTTTTTTTAAAAATACTAAAATATTTATTAAATTTTTAATATATTATTACTTAAAACTTATTTTTAAAATTAAAAAACGAGGATTTAAAATTATAATACCTTATTTATTTTATTATTTATTAAAGTAAAGATATAAAATACTAAAGGGTAAATTAAAATATTATAAGTATATACGTTATAGTCGTTTTTATAACGCAATTACTAATATTATATATAATTATAAGTTTTTTTTTTATTAGTATTTTTTTATATTAATTATACTCGTAGTAGATCGTTTTTTATTTAAAATTAATAGGCTAAAACGTAAAAAGAAAGTAAAAAAGCTTTTTTTTAAAAAAATAAATAAAAACTTTATATTATATATAAATTAAAATAAATTAGTTTTTATTAAAATTAAATCGTTTTTTTTAAAACAAAAATAGTATTTAAAAAGGGTAAAGCGATTTTTAATCCTCTTAATATTATTAACGAGGATAAGTTAGCTACTACGTAAGAAATATAAGCTAATAATACTTTTAAAATAATTAACTAGGATACTATAATAACTAAGAGTTCTAATTTTAATTTTAATTTTAATATTCTAAAAATGATTTTTAAGAGTTCTAAAAGTTTATAATAAGTTCTTATATATTTTTTTATATTTATAGCCTTTTTATTTAATAAAACATTCTTATATTTTATGTTTAATTTTATAATTAATAATTTATTTAATTTTATATTTTAATTAGTTTAGTTTAATAATAATATAATATTTTATATATAAACTTCTTAATATAAGCTTGAGTAATAAGATATAAAAAGTAAAATAATATTATATTATATTTAGTAATTTTAATTTATAATTAATTAATAAGATTTTTTTAATAATTTCGAAAAGTCTAAGTTTTTTATAATTTAATTTATTACTTAGTTATTTTATTTTAATATTATAATAAAAAAGATAAGTACTATCCCCCTTTTTTAAAAATAGTTCTCTAATTTTTAATCTATTTATATTTTTTTTTATATACTATTATATAAACTCGAGGTTTAATAAGGTTTATTTATAAATCTTTTTAAGTTTACTTACGTTTATTATAGCTTTTATAACTTATAATCCTTATTATACTTTTTTATATATTACTAATTAAAATCTATAATTAAAATAAAATAATAATTCTTTTATATTTCTACTAATTATATTATTATATACGAACTAAGTTATTAATAAAAATATTACCTAATTATCTTAGTTATAGTTTATATAATAATAAAAATATATTTTAAAAATTTAGTTCATTTGTTTTATTTATTTATTAGTTTATAAATAAAATAATATTAATAGTTTATAGTTTATACTAAGTTACGAAATTAAGGATTTTTAAAACTTTAAAATAAATAGCTTATTTTTATTAAAAATGATTTTTTTTAATAAACCGTAGTTTAAAAATATAACTTTAGTAAATACGTATATTAAGTTTTTTATAATACTTAATTCTTTATAAAAAATAAAATAGGTAAACTTAATAAGTTAATTAACTATAACTAAAATAATATTATATTATATTTTAATAAATAGTTTTTTAGACTTTAATAGTTTAATAATAAAGTCTTATATAATTAATTACTATATTTTTATTAATAATTATAATAGTTATAGCTCGTTATAAAGCTAATATAAGCTATTTTTATTTTTTTTTATAAATTATATAATCCTTAATTACTTTTATAATTTTAGTATATATAGCGGATTTATTATAATATTAGTAAATCCGTTTTTATATTTTAATAATTCTTTAATAATTATATATTAATATATTATAAATTTTTATAATAAGCTTAGGGGTTATTTTTTTAATTAGGCTAATATTAATTTTTTTAATTATTATAAAAAGCTTTATAATTAATATAAAACTACTATTCTTTTTTTATTTAAAAATAATTTATATTTTTTTAAGGACTATAACTTTATAATTAGGTTTTTTATTAAAAGCGTCTACTCTATTATTCTCTAAACCTTTTTAATAAATAATTTAGAAATTATATTTAAATAGGAATTCGCTTTATTTAACTTATTATTTATTTAAGTTTTTATTTATTATAAAGTCTATAAAGTTTTTATAATTTATATAAACTATTATTTTATACTTAGTTCTAAATAATTATAGTCTTTATTTTTAAAATATTTTAATAATTATTATTAGTTCTTTATTATAAATTTACTAATTCAATTCCGTTTTATAAAATATTTTAAAATAGAAATAATATAAATAAAGCTTTTTTTATTCGTCTTATTATCCTAGGACTACTCCTATAATAAAGTTTAAAGTATTAGTTTTAATTTTAAAAAGTTTTTAAAAATCCAGGATTATAATAACTAGTTTAAAAATAACTATATTCTTAACTTTAATAAATACTTTTTTATATTTAAGATCTTAAATAAATAAGTTATCTTTTTATATTAAATTATTAAGAGGTCTAACTATATTAATATAGTTTTTAAAAAATCGTTAATAAAAGTTAATAAATCCTAAGAATCCTTATATATTTTTAATATTTTATAATATAAGCTAGTCCTTAACTACTTCTATTTTTAATACTTATATATAGATTTATTTTAATATAATAATACATCTCTCCTTAATAAAATAATTTACCGGGGCCGTACTATATATTACGTATTAAAAAAAACTAAGTATAATACGCTCTATACCTAACTACTAACTAAAATAGCTCCTAATTTTCTATTACTTACTTATAAAGCGAGCTTTATTTACTCTAATATATATAAAACCTCTTAATACTAGCTTATATAAATAGCTAGGTCTAGTATAATCTATTTTTTTATATAAGTATTATCGTTACTTAGGGGGTCTTATAAGAGCTATTTAAAGTACTAACTTATTACCCTAACTTTATATACTTCTAATTTATTTATTATAATTATTATAATTAGGCCGGCGTTAATATACTAAATCTTAATATTTATATTAGCCTAATTATTTATAATACTTATAATATTATTTAGCTAAATTCTATATTATTAAAAAGTACTTTACTACTTTTTAAGTATATTTATATTAATTATAATAGTTATAGTATTAAGCTAGTTAAAAAGGGCGCTTAGCTTAAGAGGGGTAGACTTATTAACGGGTATTTTTAAAATAAGTTCTTATTAAAGTAGTATTTTAATTAGCTAACCTCTTAACTAATTATCTAATTAGCTATCTAAGTAATAGTTTATATATTAATAAGTTTATTTAATAAATTTATTCAATAAATTTATTTAGTTTAAATAGAGAGTAGCTTTAAGTAATATTAAAAGCGATAAGGATAAAAAGAATTTTTATAAGTTTTAGTATAATAAAGTAGTAAATATTAACCTATTTAGCCCTTTTTTTTAAAAACCTCTACGTCGTTATTAAAGTTTGGAACCTCTATAGTTAAAGGCCGCCTCTAACTATTATAACTAACTATTATAATTAACTATTATAACTAACTTCTATTATTAACCTTTTTAATTAGCGCTACTATATAAAGAGTAGCTTACCTATCCTAAATTAAATAGTAGTTTTTATATTAAAATTATTATATTACGTTAAGCGCGTACTTAGGATATATTATATATATTATATAATTAAAAAGTATATTATATTATATAATTTTTTTTAAAAGCGTAATCCCGTTAAAGTCGATTTTTTATACTTATAAAACTAGAAAAAAAACTATTATATAATAGTATATTTAAGGAAGTTTACTTTCTATATATAAAACTCGTATTTAGAGGGCTCTATATATAGTTTAGTATTTTAAAGCTTTTAAAATACTATATAAATATATTTTTTATATATTTTGAAGTTGGGGGAAAAAATAAAAATATTATTAATATAAATAATAATAAAAATATCGACGTATTTTTAAAATACGTAGTTAATTATTATTTAAAAAGTTATTAAAATATTAATAAATCCGAAGAGTATAATAAAGTACTTAAAGAGTCCTCTACGAGTTTAAAATACTATTTTTTACTTATCTCCTTTTTTAATTAAATCTAATTAAATACTTTTTTAAAATTTATAATAATAAACTAATTAGTTTTATAAAATAAATCTCTAAGTTAATAATAAGTAGTAAAGGATAATAATTATTTTTTATAATTTAATTAAGCTTTTTATAGTTAATAATAAGTCTTTATTTTTTTATTTTGTTTTTAATATAAAGAATATTAGTAATTTTATAAGGGAATTTAATAATTAAATATATCTTTTTTTAAGTTTTTTATTAATATATTCGTTAAAATACTCTTATTCTTTTTAGTTTATTAAATATATTAAAAAGAACCCTAATTACCTTCTTTTTTTAAGTTCGATTTTTATATCTTAGTTATTATATTTTAATAATCCTATTTTTTCGGGTTTTATAAATAATTTTATATATATTTAGTACTTTTTAAATATAGTTTAAAATTATTATAATCTTTAATTATTAATACTAATTACGAATTTTCTAGAGCTTTTTACTATTTTAATAAAAGCTATATGTCGTATTTATTTTCGTTTTTTAACAGTTATTAAAAATCTATTTAAACCCTTTTTTTTTTTAAGTTATTTAGTAACTAAATCTTTTTAGAAGACCTAGCTAGTAATCTAATTTATTTATAAGTTATGCTTTTATAATTATAAAATTCTTAGGATAACGTTAATATTTCTAATCTCTATAATATTATACTATAGTTATTTTTATTAATTATTAATATATATTAAGAAGTATACGGTTTCTTAATTAATATATTTATAATTATAATTAACTCGTTCTTTTTTTATTATTTATAATTAATATAAGTTATCCTTTTATATTTATAATAAGTTAAGTTTATTTATTATTTTTAATAAAATATAAGTTTTTTATATGCTATTATTAATAATAGTGTTTAGTTCTCGTTTATAAATATCGAAGTTAATTTATAAGTATACGTTATTACGTTATTTAGTTATATATAAAAACCTTTTTTTTTATTTTTACTTTTCGTTATCTTTTTATAATTAGTTTTTTTAGTTTTTTATTATTTACCTCTTTAAGCAGTTTTTTTATTTATATTTTTCTTAATATTCCCTTTATACCTTAGCCTTTTTAATATAATAAATTTAATATTAATTATATTTATAATCTTCTTATTTTATATATTTACTATTAAAGTACTTTATAAAAAAGCTAGGATCTAGGCTAAATATTATTTTATTATTATTATTAAAGCTTAGTAATATCTAATTAAGTAGTTAGTTTTTTACGTAAATATCTTTAATAAGTTTATTATTACGTTTTTATAAATAAAAACGACTATTTTATTTATATATAAAGTATTAAAAATATTTATTATTTAAGTATTTTATTTAAAATAATTCTTTATAAAAGGGGTTTTTGGGATTAAATAAAGAGTAGTTTTTGTTTATATAAGGGGTTATTATAACCTCTTTATATTCTTTAGTTCTATAAAACTAAATAGTTTAGTTATTTTTAAATAGATAAATATATTTATATTATAACTTATTATTATCTTCTTTAAAACTAATATTATTAATACTAAGTAGTATTTTATAATTAATCTCTATTTAAATATACCGTTAAGTAACGTTATAAAGTTTATTAAAATTATAAAGTAATTTTATTTTATTAAAATAAAAAGAACTAGTTTTTATATTAATATTTTCTTTTTTTTTAAAGTTAAAATTAATTTTTCTTTTTTTTATAACTTTAAAATTAAGAGTCGGTTTTTTAAATATTTTAATTTTATTTTTATATACGAGGTTCTTAAGTTATTCCTTAATTTTATAAATAAACCTTTTATTATTATTTATTTTTTATATTATATAAATAAACTTAATTAGGATTTTATTTAAATCGAGTTCTTTTTTAAACTTAGTAAGTTATTTTTAGTTTATATAGTTTCGTTATATTATATAAATAAAGCTACTTATAATTCTTTTATATTAAGTCCTCTTTTTTTAAGTTTAAAAAGTTATTTTTTTATATTAACTAAGAATTTTTATTTAAGTCGTCTTTTAAAAAAATAAAAAATATTTTTTTTAACGGGGTCTATTTTAGCTTTTTTTTTTATATTTTTATAAATCTAGGAGAGCGTAATAATATATTTAATATTATTTTTTTAAAAAATATAAAGTTAATAAGTAAATATCTTTTTTTTTATTATTATTACTAAGGTTTTAATAAATAGTATAATATCGTATTTAAATTATCTCTTATTTTTAAATTATTTTAAGTACTATTTTATTTATTTTTTACTATTTTAGTAAATAAAATAATTATTATTATAATAAGCTATTTATAAAAGTTATTTATAAGGGACTTCTTTATTTATAATATTAGCTCGCTTTTTTAAAATAAGTTAATATTAAATATACTTAGGTTATTAGTAATCTCTAGCTATATATCCTAGCTTATTATAGTTATAATATTTAAAGTCCTTTTTTTATTATAGTTCTTTATATTTAATAATACTAAGGTTTATAAGTC